GTACGTATAGAGAGACATGCTAGCGTCTATCCCATCAGCGAGGCTTGGGGCATGGTATTAGGGGTTGGTAGGAGCCACGCATAGCCCATAAGGCTAGGGTGCCTGGGGAGCACCCATCATACCGGGAGACCCCAGGGGGTCCGGGAACACACGGGGACAGAGGTCCCAGCTAACCGTGCCCAGGGAGCCGTAAGGCAGCCTCCCAACTTTACCTCAACATCAAAGACGAGGCGGGCGAGAATTTGAGGGTGCCCTTGGGCCGACTTGGCACGGTGAGGGGGCCGTAAGGAGATCACGGCCCTCCTGAAGGACCCCGCCGTGACAAGTTATTATTAGGTTTTTCTGTCTTGAAATAATATTTTGAGAAATTTGTAAAATGCCCTTAAGTCCACTAGCAAGATGGCCTTATGTACCTTGTGTGAAGAGAAACAAAGAACTGAGTTTGTTCATTGGTTATCTGATTTGGATCTTAATAGGAAATAAATTAAAATAACATTAACTATAGACTCCTAATAGACAAAAACTGTAATATTGGAAATGAAGAGTTAGTTTTAGTTTAAATACCTTCTGTAGGTGATAACTGGTCATTCAGAACATATCAACACCAGTGATATGCAACTTTCTGGTTCTGTGGCCCAATGAGTAGCACAGCTTGAATCCTGCACAGGGTCAGTGTGCCAGCCTGACCCCACATACTGGATCCAGCCACTTGCTGGGCTGACCCCTGTGCCAGATCTGGCCTTGCGCCAGATATGGCTGTTCACTCTGATCCTACTCTCCAACTCCGGGAATGCTGGGCCAACCCCAGGCACATAGATCTGACTGTGCCAGTATGACACCATACACCTGGATCCAGCTGCATGCCTGGATCTGGCCCCTGGGTCAGAGGTTAAGCATCACTGGTCTACACCATCAAGTGACTGTGCTAGGGAATGTCACACTGATATATCCCAGGTGTACTCTGTGTGTTCTACATCCTGAAACATGTAATGTAGCCACTTTTAGGGTGGCTCTGACCACTCACTAATAATGTCTGCCTAGGAAGTTAATGTATTGGTGTACAACCTGTGCTCCACTAAGGCTACGTAGCATCTGTTTTGAGATGTCCTGTATGTGAGTGTGCAGATCTTCCCCAAGCAGTCCTTTTGTAAGCATACAAAATTTGGATGATGTATAGGGCTCTGTACAAAGAACAGAGAGAGAAACAATTTGTCTAGTACATCTAGAACACAGCTACAGAAAAGGGAAGGTGGAAACAAATGCTATATGTTTGCATGCACATATAAACAGTGTGGAAATGGTGACTACACCCAGATCTAGAAAGTGATGGTGGCTTGGTATTTTGACATATATTTTCAAACAGAAAAAAAATGGTATTTAAAACTTTACCATTATGAAGTGCAGAAAGCAGCATTACGTAACACAAACAGAGAATATGAGGAGTGAGCAAGAACCATAGAGATTTAGAGGCATCATACAAGGATATATTGAGACGTAAAGAATCTGACTGTTTTATGTAGATCAAGTACAGTATTCATTTTGTAGATAATTTCAAGAGAGAAACCAGACCAAACTACCATTTTTACCCGAATCCAAGATGGCTGTGAATTTAAGGCCGCCATCTAATAATTGGGTGACTTCAGCTGGCCTATTCTCCAACTCCGGTAGGTCTCTGGCCCTGCTCCAGCCTGGGGCCTGGAACACATAGCTGTTCTAACCCCAGCCCAGACACACAGTTGCCATTGCAGCATCAGCAGCTCCAACTGGGCCCCGGATAAAGCCCAGGATGGAGCTGGAGTCACCACCACCATTGCTACCAGGCCTAGTTGGAGTAGGGTCAGAACTCTGCCAGAGCTAGAGTCTAAGTGGTGGCAGGGGCAGTATTGGGGTAGGTGGGCAGATGTGAGGGTGAATGTGGGAGGAAGAGATGGCAGGGGGACAGGCAGCAGCTGTAGCTCCAATTCAACCCAGACCTGGGGTCGGGGCCAGAGTTGGAGCCACACAACCATGTGCCCCCCTGCTGCCCCATACTCTAAATGTTAAATGGGGAAGAAAATCTTGCCTTGAATTTGAGTAACTATGCTACTTACATGTCTAGGCTTTTAATATAGAGATTTTTTCTGGCTGTATTCTATTAGACATGGCTAAGTAATGCTTCTGTGCTCATGTGAATTGGGTTTCATTTTCTGCAACAAAATTGCAGGCTCTTCAAAGGGGATTGTGTTTTCTGAGAGCCTTTATCTAGTTAGACTTGCAAAGGGACATGCTGTAGTATTTATTGTGGAGCTGGTCAAGAGAGGTGCCAAGTGTAACTCATGTTTATCTGTTGTATTCTTTGTGGAAATATAAAGTTTGAAGGCCTGATGTCACTCTCTCAGCTTTGCTCTAATGCTTCATTGCAGGGATCCTGGTTTTCTCTGTTTAAAAATTGTAAATTCTCTGATGAACACAAATTCTCTGATTAAACCCCCAAAAATCTGTGACAAAAATGGAACACCACTCTATATATATATATATATATATATACGTGACATTTCAACATTTCATTTTAATCATGGACAATTGTGGATTTGGGGTTACTTCTTTTAATCCAAAAATTGGGGATTTTTAAAATCAGAAAACCAGGATACCTCCTAATAAAGGTTTCCCATTGATGTATTTATAATTTTAAATTAATTTGAAAGCCTCCCAGTACCTCAACCACTATAATAAAATTAATTCTAAGTACCTATACATTTTAGTATTTGATGGTGGGTTTTTTTATCATGGAAAATCAGAGCTCCCCCTGCTCCCTTGGCTTATCAGGACACAGGTCCATGCTTCTCACTCCCCACCCACAGCCCTGCTGGTGCCCCTCACTCCCCATCCACAGCTTCCTGGCCCTGCTGGCACCCCTCACTCCCCACTTACAACCCCCTGGCCCTAAGGTGCCCCTCACTCCTCACCCACAGTCCCCTGCCCACCCCAGCCCTACTGGAGGGGGTCACAACTGCCAGGGCTACAATGCCAGGGATCCAGGGCTGCAGCCCCCTGTCCTCTGCAGTAACACCCAATCCCCAGCTGCTGCGCGTGGGAGGTGGCGGCTGCTGTGGCAGAGTGGAGTGCAGAGCCTGGATTCCCCTCCACCAAAGGCAGTACGGCCAGAGTGGAGCCCATGGGGCAGGCAGATGTTACTGCCCTCTGCAGGCTCGGGCTCCCCCACTCTGTTGCCCTCTGTCCAGGATTTCCATGGCCCAGCGAACAGGATCTGGCTTGGCAGGGAAGAGCAAGACCAGATGGAGAAGCTTCTTATCACTGTGAGCCCCGCACTGCCCTGGTGAGGTGCCCCTTGACCACCCGACAGCAGTGAGTGGCACAATTCCATGCTGCCACCCCCACTGCTGCTGGGCAGACAGGGGGTGCTTTACCAGGGTGGCACACTTCTCCCTCCCCCTCTACTAATATTCCCCC